CTCAAAAGAGGGAGGAGATCAGTGTCCACGTGGATCTGAGCAATGTGCCAACATGTCCTTCACTCCCCACCCCCTTCATTTGCTCCCTCACACACAGCCAGAAGGAGAAAAAGGTAGAAAAAAGTAGATCTGCAAAGCAACCTCATATATAAAGGTATCTAGATTTAATCTACCTGAATAACCATGTGTGAAATAAATACAAAACTTAAACACACTATAGTTATGACTGTAAAGTATCTTGACACAAATGTGATGAATTTGTTCCACTAACCACATGAAAAACTATGAGACTGTTAACTCCTGACTGCAAAGCACAAAATGTATTTTTCTTCCAAACACATTGTCCTGTAAATCCAAAAAGCCAGCAATGCTACGTACATGGCAGAGGCCCAGAGGAACATGGGCAAAGTCCACCCCAGGAGACCACATTCACTGATAAGCGACCATTTTCAGCAGAGAAGCACCCAGATGTCAGGTGATTCTTAAGTCAAGAGGACATCTGCACTCAACCCCCATCTATAAACTAAAACTGGTGAAGTACTGTAGTAGAGCTGTGCTGCAAAAACTGCATCCTTACTTGCATTGTTACTGTCTTATTTTAAATATAACAAAATAGCACAGGGCTGTCAAACAATTAAAAAAAAATTCATTAATTACAGGATAACTGTGGACTAATTAAGAATAATCGACATTAGTTTATATGAGACCTAAGCAAAACCTTGGCTCGTGGTCTAAATTTGGCCCACGGGGCAACTCACAGAAACCAGCTAATACCAGTTTTAGGAAAACCTTTAAAAAAAAAAATCTGTTCATACAGTGCATTTGTGCCTGTCACGATTTTTAAAGGGGGGTTGTCACAGATGAAAATAGACATCCTCGAATAAAGGCTCTGCCAGAAAGAACTGGTCAAAGTGGCAAAACTGCATCTTTTAGGAAAGTTAGAAGAAGAAAAAAATGACAGCAAAAGTAGTCATTTCTACTGCGTAAAAGAAGTTGCCTTGTTTTTACAAGTCAAACGCAACCGTGTGTGAAGACCATGATTACATGAGAGGCACTAACTGGGGCTTCAGTTCACAGAGAGCTACCACATACCAGGCCAGAGCCATCTGAGAGCAGAGGAAACACTAGACATACTGTAGAAGAGGAGACCATGTCACTCTGCAGCTGAGCCTCACAGATCAACAGGACCAACACCACTTCACCACCGTATCATCTGCTAACCTTTAAACTCACAACTGGCATAGACCACTGTCAAGAACATTCACTTTATAGGCCAAAGTCACAGAAACTGGGTTAGTTGCAGAGAAGTCAATAACACATGTTATTGATGGTAAATGTTATATATTTTGTTATTAAGAGAAAGTATGGGACTACTGAAAGTTTAAGTGTTAAATGATTCTGTTTACTTTAAATACAAACCTAATACTGCATAATTAAATGCGGACCAGGCTTTAATGTTCTTTAATTGAAGTACTGACAGCAATATATTGAATATATTGAGTTTACCAGAAATCATAGTATATGTACAGGATGTTCTAGTAGGTTGTTGCAGTGAACTAAATTGTAAGTGATATATGTTGGCCTAAATACATTTACTTTTTGTCCTTTTCAAGGTTTAGTTTTGGTATGTAATGTTAAGTAGCCTGGTTTGGGTCATGAGTTGGTATAAACTTTATAATGCAACACTGAAGTAGTAAACATTTACTGTGTTGCTTTATAAGATTATTCTCAACTTACTTGACACACCTTGTAAAGTGTAGTTAAAAAAAAAAACTTCACCTTCGTCAATATTTTCAGACCAAACTCTGCCGTAGTGGCAGAATAATTGTGTCACAGAATTACCCCAAGGGTATGGTCACAATCCAACAAACGCCTGTCACATCATGTTCAGCAGAATCTGTAAGACACGTACAGTAGGCCACGTCTTCTTGCCAGTTCTAACCCGGTACATTATGCAACTTAGAAATGCCTAAAAGAAGCCACAGCCATGACAGACTGTGTGACGGACAGACCATAATTTGGAGTCATTGTCAGTAGTCACACTGAACCACAACAGAACAACATGTCTTCGTTTAAGGCTGTGATTTGAACAAAACTTAATATGACTCGTGAATATGCCCTCAGATGAACGGACATGATAAAAAAAAACTTAACTTATTTAAACTTGTTTTTTTCTCAATAGGGGAAAGCTAACAAATAAAATGGAAATGGAAGAAGGCATTTCCTAGGGGAAAACGGGAAAGTGTGTATGCATGCAGCCGTGTGCTGACATTACCTGTTTGCGTTCTCGTTTGGTGGGTATGTGTTGAGGAGGCTGAGGTGGTGGTTGCTGCTGTTGAGGAACTGGGTTCATAATGACGGGACCAGCCTGCACCGGTGGGGGAAACTGGGCCTGGGCGGGGTAGTAGGCCCCTGCTGCAGATCACATGAGAGAATACAACGTCAAAGTATGAATGAAATTGTTACATGCTTTAGAAAAAATAAAAATATATATTGCAAGAGGATGTGTAGTCATTGCTGTCCTGTTCGTATCATCGAGATTTAATTAGGACTTAAATGATTAATCAAACATTTTGTGAAAATATGTTGTAGTTTCATTTGACAACTGATACATTTATACCATACAGGCTTTTACTGACAACACGATGAGTCAGTGATAAAGAGAATAGGTCTTTTTATAAACCAAGAGATCAGATAAAGAGTTTTGTATATGTTATGCATGTTTCTTGACATTTTTCATTTTAATAATAATTCCAAAATTTGTATTTGTCACAAAAACATGTGAAACACATCAACCTGTTTGCTTTATTCAAAATATAATCAATAAAATAGTCATATTTAGTGATTTCGCTAACAACAATAATAATAATATAATAATAATATAATAATAATAAAATAGTCATATTTAGTGATTTCACTAACAACAATAATAATAATATAAATGACATTAATTAGGAATTCAGATTAATCTTGACTAATAGTTATTAATCTGTTTAATCCACCCTGTTATAAATCTAAACTGTATTTGTTTGACTAAGTCAAAACCATGTTACTGTGTCCAAGGTGATATGGTTTTTTTGAAACACTAACCCAGACAGAAGTCTAAGGATCTATATATTGCCCCTGCAACAATCAGCCAAAGGTATGCTGTTACCTAAGACCTGAATGCACTGTGTTCTGACCAAAGTCCATCCCACATAAACAGATATTTAAATCTTTGTAATCTTGATATTGATGTTTGAATTGTTGGTCTGAATTCATCCAATGGACAAAAACTTCACCTGGACAAAAAACTCCAGATATATATTAAATACTGACTCATACTGTAATTATAGCCTGAACTAAGGACTGTATCAAGAGGCAGTAGGTGATTCACAAACCTGAGTTTGTCGAACTGTTATACAAATCAGCTGGAAACACACTGTTATGTAGCAGAACATCTGTCAGACCAGCCCTCTGTGTTTAAGTAGGAGTGAGGATTCATGTCAAAGGGCATTTTTTGTGCAATAGTGGCAAAATAATGGTGAAAGTACAATCATTACTGCCTACTGATTAACAATGACAAAGAACTACTTAACGACATTCATAGAGATAATTATTTTACACTTCAAGTCAAGAACTACTTAACGACATTCATAGAGAGAATTATTTTACACTTCAAGTAGATAAGTAGAAATCTGCATTGTCAGAGGAGCATTTTACCTACCAACAAGTGAACAAGCTCAATTAATAGGATTGGGATCATGAGAAAATAATGTAAAAATATTGAGTAAAACAACAAACATTAATTCAAAGACTGTAAAACTGTGAACCACGATCGTTTCGATCATGCAGAGAAAATCTGCAGGAACAAACAGAGCAGACTGAGGAGCAATCTGCTTAAATGTCAGGTCAAAACACTTGCAAACCAGTTTCATTACTCATGAAATACTTGTCATATCACGGGAAAGTGCCAACGACACTAACACTTGCTTCTGTTCTCACAGACTTGCAGCACATCTCTTATGAACTTGTGTGAAAGTCCTCAGTGGTCTGTGTCACTAAACAATCTTTTATTTTTATTAAATGTATAGTTAGAAATTCTGATAATGATTTTGCAACATTAAATTGTACTTTTTTTGCACTACTTAAGCTCAGGTCATCCATGTTCGAAATACAGGAACAGAAGAATAGGGGGGAAAAAATTACAAATGTTAGTTTATGTCAAATATTCATGTTTTTTTATATCAACAATATCAAGTGTTTTTTCATGATAAAATATTTTAAATTCTTTATCAATTGAAATATATAAATACAAATTATTTGCCATCTACAATACCTGTCATTTTATTAGTCACGACACCAAAAGACAAACACGGCTGGAACATCCCTTCTTGTGCCACTTCCAAATGTCCTTTCATGTTCTTTGTCAACATAGTACCTGAAGAGCACCACAGGCCTTTGAGCCATGACATAGCAAACTCTGCCTACAGGTCAAACACCAACGGTGTAGCTCACTAGCTTATATTAGCTTATGAACCATACCGAGATTTAAGTTCATTCTGTGTTAAACCAACAACTGCTGACAAGAAAAAAAGTCAATTTCAAAAGGTCACAACTTCCTACTGTAACTTCTACATGATTTCAACACGACATCCAACCATTCCATGGACATTACCTGGCCTCGACACCGGCCTCAGTTATACTTCAGAAGCTGCTGTTGTCTACTTTCACAGGACTGGGATAATGAAATCTTCACATAGAGAAATGTGGCAGTGACTAGCTCCTGCTCTGCCTCCCTCTCACCCCCTCTGCATACATTTCAGTCTAACTCACATTACTGAGTCTGCATTGTTGACCAGCAGCACAGCCTAAATATAGTCAAAAAGCCACACCGACTGGGGGGACGAGAGCATGCAGGAGGAACAGGGAGGGAAGACAGGCAGAGAGAGGGAGGCCGAGGGGGGACATGCTGGAGAGCAGAAAGCCAGACGGCAGAGTGAGACTTAACTTGGACACCGTCCCGACACTGTAAATAAGAGGCTTAAGACATGACTCACAAAATGCGAGAGCCTATGAGAGCAATGAGTGGCGATTGGGGGGGGGATCAGTTAAGAGGCACAACTATCCAGATGACACCTACCCTCAGAGTCCTGCTGCTCCTGAGACCCACGATTCCCCATGATGATGGCCAACAGACAGACTGGAGAAAAGGGGGTTTCTCTTCAAACCCCTGTCTCTGGCTTTTTTCTATCCTCTCTACAGGTGCCCTCTCAGAATGACTTCTTTTAATGCTGTAACCCTCCCACATCCAGCATGCCTCTCTCCATTAAGCTCCTCCCTCTAACCTTCCTAATTCCTCCCTGCTTTTCACTTTTTACACCCACCTTCCTCACTCTCTTTTCCTCTCCGGCCTCCAAAGAGCAAATGTTGAAAAAGCTCTTTGGCCATGTCAATCACAGAGGCTCTGAGGTGCTGAGGATATGTAGTTAGAAAGAAGCCCCCTCAGATTTAGAAGAGAGACTCTTAAATATAGGCACATTTTACATCTGTGTTGTTTTTTTCTGTTTTGTAAACCAATTTCCAATGGTTGATTTTGACGAATGTCAGTCCTAAAGGTGCTGAGGTTCACCGTGGTCAGCTATACTGTGTATCTTACCCCATGACATATGCTGTGTTTGTGTACAAAACAAAGAGTGTGCGTCCCATAGCGTCTGACAGTCCTGTCTAATGGTCACATTGCATTTTTAAGATGATGGACTTACAGAGCAACCTCTATTTGACCAACACACAGATCATGAGAATGAGAAAAAAAAACATCCACCAGGGAAACGCTTACATAACATGACAGATGTTCTCTGGACCTTTTGGCGTTCCAAAATTTAACCCCTTTATAATCGGTGTAGAAACAACTTAGAACAGTGTTAAGAGGACTCTGCATTACAACGCATGTTGCATTCACTGTGGATTATCCAGAGAACAAAAACTGCAAGTGAATAATTCAGAACTAAGGAACTGATGATTGATGTTTGGAAGGTTTGGAATTCACCTTTAATTCTGCTAGCATATAAAAGAAATTATGACGTTGGCTATTTAGTCCCAATATTCCTGGCCTAAAAGCTCAGTTATGCCACAGGCATAATTTTTTGTGTTGTAATGTCACTTGGCTAACTCTAGATGGTGTGATAACCCATGTGATCATAAGCGAGCAGTACAGGCCTTTTGTAATGTTCAAGTGAGAGCGAGACATTTCATATTAGAGTTTTAGAAAATAAAACATATACAGTATGTATTAATAAATCAAATTGTTTACGGAAAAAGAAATTATCCTAAATCCACACCCTCACTGCAATTGATTATGGTCATATGGTCCAAGTTATTTCACACAGTAGAGTCCTCCCAGCTGACTCGCTCAGTTTGATTGTTGAAACTTTGTTTTATTTATATATATATACAGATTAGATTACATTTATAAATTACCCCACTGTGGGACAAATGAAGGACTTCCTAAATCTTAAGGCAGGCGTGGTAACTGCTACACTATGGAACCACTAAAACATGAAATATGACTTTAAGCTTCTCCGACCAAAATGTTTGCCACAAACAAAGTTGGTACAATCAAACTGTATATATATATATATAATTTATATGTTTTTATTCTCCATGGAGAGGTGTTCTACCGGACTTATTTGGTGTATCACTTGACTTTAGAACGCACATCATTTTAAATGGTTATGTACTTAGAGACACAACAAAAACTTTAAGCAGAATGTCAACATGTGAGGAGCCATGGCTGCATGACTACTGCAATGTTTTATCTCTTTAACCCTCAGATTTAGCCACAACAATGTTGTAATGGCGTTCTAATAAATCCTCCAAGACACTTGTTGCCTGTGTTTATAATAGTAGGTAGTAACTTATATTTTTAATGAGACTTGCACATTCTGTCATCTCATTTTGAACAGTTAAGAACGGTAATTAGTTTGTGGGCAGCTCAGGACAGGCCCACGTTAAGGAAATATTCTTACCATATTCAGCTGGGTTGGTGCCTGGGTAGAAGCCTGGGGTGCCTGGAGGGACTGGATATTGTTGGGCTGTGGTCACATATGCAGTTGGGCGGTACTGAGGACCGGGGGGAGAAGAAGGTGAGGTCAGAAAGTTTTATTTTTAAAAAGTATTGTGCGTGTGAGCAGAAATGTGGCTGTGCCTCCTACCTGTCCCGGTATGAAGTAGGCAGGTCCCTGGGGTGTATTGGTGAAAGGCAACTGCTGTCCAGAGATCATCATCATTTGTGAGCCAGGACCCGGCTGGTAGACATGGGTGGGCGTCACAGAGCGAGGTGCATTGCTGGGAGGAACACCTCGGGGCCCACTCCCTGGAGACAGGCTGCCCCTGTTGGGGTAGTAGGGCTAGAAAAGAGATAGTTGTAGGGTCGGGGAAAGAGCAGAAGAGGAAGAGGAAGGATGAACATTGAAATTACGTAGACAGAGAACAAATGTGGGGGATAGTTGTAAAACATGAGGGAGACGTTGGAAAAGAAATGGAAGGGAAATAGGAGGAAAAAGAAAGAAAAAAAAGGGGGATGAGTTTTCCATAAGCTCAGATATTAACATATTCCCCATGTACTTGTCTTATTTTATCTCTTAGACCATGTGGAGGTAGTTGTGATTAGGTCAAAGGCAATGCTCGTAGTATGTCTCTGCCTCTGTGGCCAGACTCCAAATGGAAACATATTGGCCCTGCCTGCCAGGAGAGATAAAGCAGCTAATGCAGCTTCATTCAGTCTCCTCATTGACATTCTACTGCTGGCCTGGGAGCTCACCGCCGAAGCCAACCAAATGACACCACGCCAACAAAGCACAACGATGCCAAATATTAGTCTCACAAATGCATATATGCACTAGTCAGGATGATGAGGCGGAATTAGTGAAGGAAGGGAAGGGGAAAAAACTGAAGAAAGGGGATCAGTTACCTGTAGTGACCTGAAGCTTCCCTTCAGCAGCACAAATACAGATTACACACAGAGCATCGCAATCAGTAACAGAAAGCCTAGGAAACACCCATTGTGAGCCAAGCAGTGAAATAACAGGCAGCATGCAGAGAAACGCCAGAGCAGTGGATCGAGGTCCTGCGGAATTAAATCAACTCCAACAGACTACAGCTAATAGAAGGAGACAGGAACTGATCACTAACTGATCCATTTTGTTTTACTTTCTACAACTGAGCACAAGCTGTTGATTTTACCATTTGAATGACAGTGGTTAAATATCAGTTCAAATACTACTGCCACCTGGGGGCGAGTTCTGATAGCTTGACGACATGATGATTGACGACAATCAATTAATGACAGTTTGCTAATGTTACATTTTAGCGGCCATTTAAATGTGATGTGTGATGGTGCTGTTTAACATGGCACTTGATCTCAGAAGCAAAATATTTTACATTTTTCTTCCAAAAGAATCAACTACAGCTTGTTGTGTTTTTGTCTATTTGGGTCATTGTCTGTTGTGTTTTTGTCTATTTGGGTCATTATCATTGTTGAATCAACTACAGCTTGTTGTGTTTTTGCCTATTTGAGTCATTTTCTTTGTTGAATATTATTTTCAGAAATTTAACAGAAATAAAAAAAAAAACTTTAATTCTTGTAGAGGTGAACATTTTTACTTGTAACAAGCTTTTCTGTCAGTAGACAAGACACGCAAATGGCAGCAAATCAGCATTCCAGGACTCACACATCCAGGGTAAACCCAGCCATTCTACCTGTGATGTTTTTCCCAATATATGTTCCTGTAACATTTACATTTTCTACCAATTTTTATCTTAATTCTTGAACCAAAAATCCCACCCACAACCTATGAACACTGTCATGTTGGTCAGCTGTGCTGTTTGTTAGTACCTGCTGGTGGATATGTCGGGGCCCAGGGGCAAACTAGGAGGAGAGGCAGACAGAGCACAGTTTAGAAAAAGCACAACATCCATGCATCACTCTCCAAACACAGGGACAAAGACTGTTGTGTGGCTTTAGAACTGAAGGGAGAGTTCTCCAATTTAAGAGATTATATCATGGAAAGACCTTATCGTTTTTCAACCGGGGCAAAAAATGCAGCATGATGCAATTATTAAGCTGAACATAGGTACCAAAGTAAACGTAGTCAGTTCATGTCTTTATACATAAATTAAGACTACGAGCAGACACTGGTGGCTAAATTGTGTCACAACTGTTAAGAAGGTGCCAAGCAGACATGCAAATTCACACGGGGATGAAATACATTGGATTTTTCACTGAGGGGACTTCAGGTTGTGATAGTGGACTAGACTCACACACAAGGACACTGGCAGGATAAAGACCTTGACTGTATCAGTCTCATCTTTTTATCCAAGTTTCACTTCTCGATAAAAAATGAAGGTCAGTAAAGACGGAAAACAGTGCAGCACACAAAGGCAGTGAAGTTGATTCTAAATTATCTAAATGTCATTTTTGAACTGTTGGACAACAACTGTGTTCTGGAGTAGAACAGATAACTCCAACACATCTGGTGGGTGGCTGGGTGGTTGGGTGGTTGTGTGTTTGGGCGGGCCTACCTGTCGGGGCTGTGGTGTTGGGTTCATCTGTGGAGGTGGTGGGTTGGCATACACTACAGAAGCGGGCTGCCCAGGGGGGAATGAGGGCTGTGAGTGTGGGAGAAAAGGGAGGATTGGATCATGCATTGACAAGTGTTTAGATGATGCCTGTAGAGGCCAAAATTCAAAACAGATAAATCTGCTGTACAAATTGTTTAATTAACATCTTTCTGTGTATCTGCTGTATTATATTTATCTGGTTTCAAAATGAAAACCCAAAATAAATAAGAAACCAATCATTCAGTTTCTTATTTATTTAATTGATTTAAGTTGGCAGCACAACAGCAGGTGTGATGATTTTCCTTATTTTTCTCGTTAAAAGTGCGGCGAGGGTTTTCTGGAAACAAAACATGTACCTTATTACTGAAAGTTAATGTGTTAAATAGCGTTTGGTCCTACAAGTTTTCAAATATTCGTTATTAGCAAAGTCTGAAGAGATTAAATTTGCCTCAACCATTTACAGTATTACAACAACACTAAGTAAAGATCAGAGAGTAGGTCATCCTGTCTCAGTATTTAGCCCCGCCCCACATGTTCCTAATAAGAATCAATAATCAAAACCATTAACAACAACAGCAACCCAGATTAATGCTACCAATCTGAACAAGAGTCTGAAATGTGGAAGAAAAAAACACGTTATATTATGTGTAGAAGAAGTAGAAAAACTATTTATATAAATACATAACTGGTTCAATATTGTCAGTAAATCACTGACAGTCATTACGACTGTTTCACAGCCCTGTCTGAGACAGGGTTGATAATCTGCATGCCCTGCTTCAACTCTTATTCTCCGCCCAGGAAAAGGGCATGGTTTTGTGATCTGCTTTTCATTATGTGAAGAAAAATGCTGCTACTAGAGACTCAGTTTTTCTCTATTGCAGACACGAAGGATAGACAGATAGATCCTCATTAAAAAAAGAACACAACAGACAGTGAAGTAACAGAAGTCATTACCTGTGACAAGCCAGGGGAGGGGGCAGGGTGAGGGTTAGAGGAGGGTCCCGCTACAGCCTGTGGTGCTTTATTCATTTCATGTGGTTCTGCATTGGGAGGCGGATATGGACATGTGTACAAACCTGTGGACAGATGGGCAGAATAAACACATGGTTGGTTGGATACAAGAAGGTGTTTTAAAAGAAGAAGTTTTACCCCAGGTTTCAGGTTTGTGTTTGGTTATGAAATTGACTGAAACAACAGTCAACAATACCATCATAAAACAAAATCTTAAACAGTGTCAGTGTTTCACTTCTTACTACATACAAGTCACACTTTTGGTATTTATAGCCTAAACCTAAGGGACACAACCACACCACGCACACAGAGTTGACTAAATGCCTGAGTCATGTGAATCAGGGCTCTGTTTTTTTTTTTTCTTAGACAAGGAAACAGGCAGCAAAACATCCATGATCATCTTTGTAACCTTAACAATATCAGTACCTTGAACAGAAGATCATATGTACACAGATAATTGGTGTCTGATTTAAAACAATTCAGTTGCAGATTTGTTCACTCATACCCAGATGAGTGAACCTTGGACAATAACAAATATAAATTTTAGATGAAGAACTACGATGAAAATACAGCCAAATACTGCTGTTTACTGTTGTTTAAAAAAAACTTTCTGAATCTGCAGAAAATGTGTAGTTTTAGTTTATGTTAATTTGCAGGTCCACTATTGAAGAAAAAATATTTCAAATATTAGTGCTTAAAGACAAATTACCTCATTCAATTGGACTACATATAACCTATAAAATATATTTTATTTAAATAAAACTCTAGTGCAATGGCAGGCCCACAGAGTGTGTGACATTCAGCTTGGTGGGCTGGGAAAGGAAATGCTGACTAAACAATCTCATGGCTAAAATAGGTCCTTAGAGTACAACCCAACTCTGCCTCTTAGGCTGTACTACTCTCAGCGTCAAACATGCAACCTCAAATCCTTGAGCTGCTCGAGGGAATGCTTTAGCCTAGAGCAATGAGATGCAGTAAGATTCTTAAAAATGTTTTGGCTTCTGCCAAATATCCACAGTACACAGCCTGGTCTGCAGAACCTGCACAAGGAGGAGTACAAATCCAGATCCATGTGTATGTCCTGCAGCACTGCAGAACTATTAATGAGGGGAACCCAAATGGGTCTGGTTTCTGCAAGAATCTGCATTATGGTTGTGTACTATGAGCTAATGCACAGCAAAGGCAGGACCCCACCCCACAACTAATCACACACAGTCATGGTCATTTGAGCTGGGCCGACATGCTGCACCACGAACGTCCCGCCACCAGCTCTGCTGTTAAAACTTGCTCATTCAACTGTTGCATAAGCCTGTGTATGCACGCCCATGACCCACAAAGGAGAGGAGGGAGAGTACATTTTGTTTTAGAAGTGACGTGTATGACCTACCCAAATGGTAAGAAAGCAGTGAGATAACAACTGTTAACATTCATTTTTAAATTCACTGTACTCACTTGACTTTAACAGAATAAAACAATGCTTTCTAGTGTTTTTTTCTATTACTACTGAGGCTGAAAAACAAAGAATCAATATTCATGGTCTGATGACAATTAAAAACAAAATACAGTAGTCATTAGCAGTTCATGGCCAGATATAAATCCATATTATGCAATAAGTTATCCCCATTATATTGATTTTTTTCTCTGTTGCAAAAATCCTTCTTTGTTGCCTACATCCGAGCTCAGTGGTCTGCAGACTGAAGTGGTCTGCAGAAAACGCTGACATTACTGTCCCAATTGGTTCCCAAGATGAATGCAAAAATCCTGGGTTTTTAGATTGTTTTACGAAATGACACAAATTTCTGCATAAAGGGGCCAAATGAAGAACACAAATTTTAAGCACAACAATACGATTTGCTCATCTGAAAGTATCGGACCATCCTGCTTGGACAAGTTTGTGGTATATCTACTTACACCACCAAATCAGAACAAGGACAAACAATAACTTTACATCCCATTAATGAATACAGGTCCTGATAGATGAGCTCAATAACACATACATATAACATTAAAATATATTTTTTACTCATTGCATGAATTATTAATGCATCTAAGCAAATATTTTGAATTCATTACCATATCTTTCTGGCATTTTCTATCATTTTGTATTATTTAATGTTTACTTAAAGATTGCATTAATAGACCAACAATATTAGTTTGTCCATCCATTCAATCAATCAATTAACTTAGCTGTCTTTTGTAAAGCAACAGATCTTAGTCATTAGACTATGTAATACATATAATTTAAGAGCATATGTAGTAGATATTATAGAAGATGTCAACATGTAGGAGGAAAATAATCATTATGATCTTCATATTAGTCTTATCCCTGTTAATCTTTATTACCTGCGCACAAGGACCACATTTCGTTTCATTTTAAACTAGGCTGCAGTGAGACTTGCTGCTCTGAACTGTGCTAAACTGTTAGCCTAGTTGCTAACTTCCCTAGGCCCAATCTGGATTTACCACGTGGTTTCTTCTCCTAGTGTTGGCGCGATGCACATCACAGCTGCCGGCTTCATGTCAGCAGCCACACCTCATCGCTGATATCAGACATGACAACCGCCCCTCTACATGTGAAGCATAAAAATGACACCACACAAAACGACGCTCCAGGAAGTGATCGATGAGGACAGGCGTGGAGGCGGTGGTGTCAATGAATGGGGACATTCAACTGCATAGCTGCCAAGCTAACTGTTCTCCTGAGTTCGTCTTCAAAGGTTCGGCTGTAATCACACCCAATCGAATTAAGAACTCGAAGCATTAAGCACAGTAACAGCACTGTCATCGGTGTCGTGACAACGGTGATTTCAGGCAAACAGCAGCCTGAGTCAGCCAACACCTCTCCCACCTTATACACTGCAACATCACCGCTGATGCGACATTCTATGTTTTGACCAATACATTGATTATGGGGACACGGTACAGCTAAAAGGGCCTTTTATAACACACACCTGTCACCTGTCAAAGTTGGAAAAAAAAAAAAAAAAAAACAGTTTGCAATCACGCAGTAAATCTCTTGATACCAGTATCCCACAGTCAGAATCACACTGTCAAAAACATCAAACATCCTGTCACCGGGATTTGTCCGGTTTAAAGGGATCCTCCCAACACGTTCACACCCCGTAACTAAAAGTGGGTGAGTGCAAATGGTCTGGCCAACTTTTACTTTGTCATCATCACGTGTTTTCATGTGCGGCGTTACGAGATTGTAATATCACGTACATCTACAACTGACTTCTCCATTTGTAAACACGCATATACCTGCTTCACTGAGAGCTGCTAAGTGACTGACAACAAGCAAAATTCTGCTCCGACATACTGCCCGGCCAATTTCACCTGCTACTGCGTTTACTGTAACATAGTCAACTGTGTCACAGCCGAGCAGGCTGTATAGCCTGTAGCACAAATGACGCGAACCGGCGAAAACAACAACATTCTGAGTCGACACCTTGCTTGTCGTTTGTCACGTGTAACACACATGTAGTTCATAAATACAACGTGTTTCTAAACGTTACTGTAAAGGCTCAATTGGACAGTCTAGAGCAGTATTACACTGCTCAGTAAAACTAGCTGAAGTGAAGAAAGAACACCCACGTCGTCTTAGCATGGAATGCTAACAGCAAGCTAGCTGGCTAATCCCTGAAAACACAGCAGGAACAGCAGTGGAGAAAGTCACCGCAAACAGGCATGTCTTTACGTTTAAAGCTAAACACACAGTTTCGCGAGATAACATTTTCCTCGTGTATCATGGGCTTGGGTGTAAAGTGAGAAAAAAGACAATTTTGGTAAAGAATCGAGCTCAGGACCGTGGCATTACCGTTCTCTCCTTGAGTCCGCAGACCCGGACGGACGGAAAATCTTCCCGGAAGCCCGTAGAACGGTAATTCCGGTAAAATCCAATCACGTGCGTCCATGACAGAAAGCATCGTCTCCACTTTGTATACGCTACGGTGCAAAGATTATTGGGCAAAGATTTTTTTTTCTATAAAGAAAAATTAAAAATGTCTTGCGAAATAGCTTTTTAACGTCACTTATCGCTCCACGAGCAGTAAGGAGAGCTAAGATCATAGCCAAGTTTGAACGTTGTTATTCAACTGAACGCGAATTTTCTAAAGGAAGACTTACACCTTTCATCCGTTTAGTTGCCTAACAGAACTTTCAAATTTAAGAAAAAATACTTTATTTTGTGGACATTTTAGATCATATGTGTCAAACTCAAATGAGGCCCGCCAAGTCCCTTTGTGTGGCCCGCGGGAACTTTAAAAAAAAGCATTTAGTAAAGTCAATGCAGCAGAGTTTCTTAACCTGAGAAATTAAAAGTTTTTTTTTAATTACACAGCAATGAACAATATTTGTAGCTTGAATAAATAATAATGAATTGCAAAGACATATATTAGTCTGTTATGGAGTACTTATATCTATACCAACAGTCCCCATCTTTAAACAGAACATCAAGCAATCATGGATGAATTTATATCACCTTTTTATTGCAACATTTTTCTTGTGTATCATGCACTTGAGTGTAAAGTGAGAAAAAAAAAGACAATTTTGGTAAAGAATTGAACCATGACATTACCATTCTCTCCTTGAGTCCCCTGACCCAGATGGACTGGAAAGCTTCCCGGAGCCCAGCAGACCCGTAGTACCGGTAAACGCTGATCATATGGAACCAAGATAGAAAACATCTTCTTCTCTTTGTATATGCTACTGTGCAAAGAGTACTGTGCAAAGATTGTTTTCGATAAAGTAAAATTAAAAATGTCTATAGCAAAATAGCTTTTTAACGTCACTTAGTGTTCCACAAGCAGTAAGGAGAGCTAAGGTATTTCTGAAAATGCCTATGAATATTCTCAGTTGTCCAGAGACAAACCAAGAGTATTGTGCAAAGAGTTTTTTCGATAAAGTAAGATTAAAAATGTCTATAGCAAAATAGCTTTTTAATGTCACTTAGTGCTCCACAAGCAGTAAGGAGAGCTAAGGTATTTTTGAAAATGCCTGAATAGTCTCAGTCATCCAGATCTAAGCCAAGCTTGAAAGTTGTTAGGCAACAATGTAAAATGGCTATGAAGATTCTCAGTCATCCAGATCAAAGCCAAGTTTGAAAGTTGTTAGGCGACTGAATGCAAAATGGCTATGAAGATTCTCAGCCATCCAGATCAAAGCCAAGTTTGAAAGTTGTTAGGCAACTGAACATAAAATGTCTATGAAGATTCTCAGTCATCCAGCTCACTGAATGTGAATTTTCTAAATGAAGACGTTTCACCTTTCATCCGTCCAGTTGCCTGAAACAGAACTTTCAAGTCTAATTTCAGAAAATATACTTTCTTTTGTGGACATTTTAGTGGAATTTTTTTTATAGCAAAGACAAAATAAATGTAATGAATGTAAACTCAAATGGCCTTTTAAGACAAAAATAATTGAACATTGTGTGCCATCTTTCTGTAGACTTTAGTTATTTTTAAACAGCAGAAAACACCTGGTCCACATCTGCAGCTTTTGCAAATCCATTTCCTATTTCTTGCACAAATGATGAAATCTGACTTCCAATGTAACTGAAGTAACTGAACATTGCATGCTTTTAAGCAATAGTGTCAAAACAGACCACAATAGTAAAAATGAAAGTAGGAAACCTGTATGTCAAAGAGCATTTAAAAGGGACTTTGTTTAATGTCTTGAAATGGTTAAGCTAAGAATTTTGTCTATTATCCACCTTGATGAACATCAAAGTTTACTTTCTAAGAATATTAAGAGGAATAATTACTTAAGTTGAATCTTTCCCTTGTGTTTGGACCTGTGCTTACCCAAATGACAACTTGCATTGGCTGCGGCAGTGGAGTACAAGTCAGTTCACACATAACCACATAATGTAACAACCTGGGTCAGTTTTTTTATTTTTTTATTTATTTACTTACTTTTCAATTCAATCCTGAATAGTACTCTTACAAACAATCCCCCGAACATCAAATGTCAAGAATACACATTGTAAATGCTCTAATTACAAAGACATTTCTCAAGATCAAGGCTGTAAAAAACAAAACAAACAAGTGTAAATAACTGATGTGGTTTGAGCAGTTGTTCATATACGAGAACCGAAACGTAGGACAGAGATGAACTGTGTTCATGACTGTAGGGTCAGTAAAACAAGGACATGTGTGAGAGCAGTGTAAAGAACCATTATTGCAGACTGTAGACGGTCCCAGTTTAACCCTCTCTGTCACATAGCAGCCCACTCAACCAGAGCCCAGCTAATCCATTTTTAATGACCACTGGAGATGGGCCACAGAGGACAGTGACAGGACAAAGCGGGGAAGGAGGAAAGATTTGTCCCACTCTTTTCAGACAATCAATAAACAACTACATACAACCACCAAGAGCTGCAGAGAAAGACCAGCCTGAATGGACCTCATGGGTTCAGTCTAGGTTTCATAGTTAGGGTTCTTCTGGAGAATCACAAAGCCCTCCAGGATGGGGGTAACAGGAAGGTACTCCTCCGTGGCCAGCTCAGCCCGCTCCCCGTGAGCCAGCAACACTGGTGTCGTGTGAGTCTGGAATCCTGTGATGGCCTTTGGTTTTCCTGCCTGACCCACAACGTCCACAGCCTGGACACAGACCATACAAATAGTGAGACATAATTTTCAGACCATACAAATAGTGAGACATATTTTTTAATAGAACTTTTAATATAATTGTAAAAAATGGATTTAACATCATAATAGAACTTTTAATAGAATTGTAAAAAATGGATTTAACATAAAATAATTAAAAGATATGACATATATTTTTATAACCCATGTGACAAGTCTTGTAGCCTGTAAGACCAATACCCACCATTTTGAATTTAATTGAATTTTCCCTTAGCCTTACTAAATTCCATTTCAGGTACTAAAAGCCTCACCTGTCCAACTCTGACAGACACGGGCAGTGGCCTCAGCTCCTCATCGAATGTGACCAGCATACGTGGCTGCATGGCTGCTACCAGGCCATACAGTATGTAGTGGGATTTTCCCAGGATTACTATAATGAACACAAGAAGAAGCAGCTATGTAAACAGACAAATCTATTACAGATCCAAAGTTCTAGTCACAGTGGACAAGGGTAAGTGTGTGGAAGTTGGTAGCTGAGATAATGCATCAGGAAGTAAACAAACTAACTGTTCTTGACATCGAGGAAGGAAACCAGCACGGTGAGTAGTCCAGCAACAGCAACCTGGCTCATCAGCTGCCGGTCACTATGGTAAGGACAGAGTGTCAGTGTGCCTTTGCCCAAGTGAGTCAGGCCCTGTGGACACACAAACAGCCCAGAGTCAATAATCACTCAAACACAGAGTCTGGTACAGAGTGTCTTTTGTGTTGCCACCCACCTGGGCCAATCGGACCATGAAGAGATTGTTGGGGTCTTTGGCGTGGTACTGTGCCAGCTGCCGCAGCATAGCAGCCAGACGAGCGTTATTTGTGCCTAAGGAAATGGAAAAATATGCACTATGTTAACTAAGCTGAGACGGCTGAGTGGCTGTTGAACAGAAGGAGTTATTGTGCATCACTTAAAATGTCAAACATGGAACGTTAGGGGTGAGGCTTCTTGAAAGTGCATTACAATGTTTCTATGTAAATTAAATGGAAGGCAAAACAAAGAATAAAATAAAACACCAATTGAACTGGATTTCCAGAGTGATCTCATGAATTAACCGAGGTCCGACTTACCACTGCCCACCATGCCCATGGCAAAGATGGAGTTGTGGGAGACTTCAGGGTCAGCATCATGAGAGAACTTGCTGAGGGTGTCCAAAATGTTGAGACGAGGGTTGGACACAGAAATAAGGGCCAGGGCAAGGGGCACTGCTCGCCTCAGTGTGGGCTCACCATAACGCAACTGGTCAAATCCAAAAGAAGCACTAAACAGTTAGAATGTAACAGAGGCGACACCTACTGTAATGCTCACAAAAACACAGTGACACTAGTATCAAAGCAAGTCGAGGCAGGAGGACTTCTTTTTTGTGAGTATGAAACATGACATTTTCACAGATGAACTTTGTGGTGAGGAACACAAGGGATAAAGAAAACCATAAAAATGTGCAACTAACCAGATGACCAAATGTTCTCAGTGCCATTTCAGAGCCTATTTCCTCTCCCATGGCAATCAAGGCAATACCAAGGACAGCTACACCCTAAAAGGAAAACGTTGATTTTAGGACTTTTTTCTTTTCCAAATATTAAATAATATACAGATGATCTAAAGGATTGCCTTTTACCTGATGTGAGCCCATGTCGGCAGCAGACTCCTTTTTGTCCTTGTCTTTCTTATCTTTTTTATCCTTGTCATCCTCTTTATCTTTATCCTTGT